GAGAATACCGGAACATGTCATTTTAATTAGGATTTTTTCAAAGTTAGATTTGGTTATATTAAGAAATCTATGCATTTCTCTCAGTGGAGATGGTCTAAAATTAAATAAAAATTAGTTTTAAATCTTAAAACAAATAAGTAAACAAACAAAAAATACCTCACAACCAATGTAACAGTGCCTATTAAGCTCTAAAACTTTCTGGTTTGTTGGTTCTATCCCTTTACTTATTTCAATGAGTCAAAAAAAATTATAAGCTTATCTTTCTTTTTCCTTTTTTTTTTTTTTTTTGCCAGTCTTAGGGCTTGAACTCTGGGTCTGGATGCTGTCCCTAACCTTCTTTTGCTCATGGCTAGAGTTCTACCACTTGAGCCACAGTGCTAGTTCTGGCTTTTTGAGTTAATTGGAGATAAGAGTCTCCTGGATTTTCCTCCTTAGACTGGCTTCCTCAGATCTCAGCCTTCTGAATAGCTAGGATTTTAGGTGTGAGCCATCAGTGCCTGGCTAAGCCTATCTTTCTTTATATTGCCTTTTCTCTTTCTACCCGCTAAATATACCATAAGCCAGAAGGTATTACCTATAGTCTAACTTCTCTCAGAATATCTAACACTGGCAACTACTTTCCAGAATTGGCCAAGAATCTACTAAATATGATTGTAGGATGGAAACTATTTAAATGAGGAGAGGTATTCTCTCTGGGACCTATGGACTTGTATACAATAATGTACTATACTAAAAATAACACAGGCCAAAAGTATACTTAGGGTATTGTATGGAATAGCTAGACGCTTCATACTTACATTAAGAATAGAAATGAGAGAGACTATATAACAGCTTACACTAAGCAAAAGGAAAAAAATGTACATATCACCCAATTTGGAAAAAATAGCTGTAGCGTCAAAGTTTGTAAAGTCCATGAGCTTTATAGACCACAATAATGACAATGTGCCTTGTGAAAGTTAAAATGTGTTTGTGACTTTAACTAAGTATCACTATCCTACAATATTGTGAAATTTATGTAATCACTTAATCTCAGAGAAAAAGAATAGGAGCCATTTGGGTAGTCATCAGAATAGCATTTAAACTTCTGTAAAATACTAAACATGATTACTAGAGGTGTGACTGTCAACAGTAATTATCTTTTTTTTTTTTTTGGGGGGGGGTCTGGTCATGGGGCATGAACTCTGGGCCTGGGCGCTGTCCCTCAGCTCTTCAGCTCAAGGCTAGCGCTCTACCACTTGAGTCACAGCGCCACTTCTGACTTTTTTCTTTTTTGCTTATGTGGTGCTGAGGAATCGAACCCAGGGCCTCAGGCATGCAAGGCAAGCGCTCTGCCACTGAGCCAACTTCCCATCTTTTATTCTTATTTTTTTATTGCCAAGGTGATGTATCAAGAGAGGGGTTATAGTTACATAAGGTAATAAGTACATTTTTTGTCCAACTTGTTATCCCTTCCCTCGTTTTTCTGCTACTTTCCCCTCGTCCCACCACCCCCGCAAGTTGTACAGATCATTTCCAACATATTGTCTTGTGCATGTTGAACAGCAATTATTTCTATGCTCCCCTGGAACAAATACAGAGCCAGACTTAGCAAGCCACAGGTATACTTGTGGTGCTAATTTGCCCAAATATGGTCCTATAGAAAATTAAGAGAGTCATTATCTCATTATCTTATTTATCTCCTTTTTTTTTGGGGTGGGGTGGGGTGGGTCAGTCGTGGGGTTTGAACTCTGGGCCTGGGCGCTGTCCCTCAGCTCTTCAGCTCATCACCTTCAGCTCTGAGCCACCTTTCCAGCCCTATGTCAGTTATTTATAATCTTTCGGAAGTTATACATTTTCTGATTGGTAAAAGGCATTAGAAATAAACAGGAATAATAAATATAACATGTAAAAAGGGCCCACTATGTTCAAAAAGTATTTTCTTCCTTGGGGCTGGGGCTCAGTGGTAGAGTGCTTGCCTTGCATGCATGAGGCCTTGGGTTTGATTCCTCAGCACCACCTAAGCAGAAAAAGCCAGAAGTGGCGCTGTGGCCTTGAGCTGAAAAGCTGAAGAGCTGAGGGACAGTGCCCAGGCCCAGAGTTCAGCCCCCATAACCAAAAAAAAAAAAGTATTTCCTCAAAAATTATCTGTATAGTAGCTAGGCATGGTGGCTGAGACAGGAGGGTTGCAGATTGAGCCTAACCTAGAAAAAAGCTATAAAAGTTAGCCAGACCTATCTCAAAAATAAGCAGGGAGTGGGTGTTCACCTGTGGTACCAGCTACTTGGGAGAATTGTGTTGCAAGTGTTATATAAAATTATGACACTATCTGGAAAACAAATCACAGCAAAAGGACTGGGATGTGGCTAAAATGGTAGTTTATGCTTAGCAAGTCTGAGTACCTCAGTTAAATCCCAGTAATAAAAAAAAAAAGTATTAGTGCCGCCCTGGTGTCCCCGCCCTGGTGTCCCCGGTGTCTCACGCCTTTAAGCCTAGCTACTCAGGAGGCTGAGATCTGAGGATCATGTTCAAAGCCAGCCTGGCCAGGAAAGGCTGTGAGACTCTTATCTCCAATAAACCACTCAGGAAACGGGAAGTGGCAGTGTGGCTCAAGTGGTAGAGCGCTAGCCTTCAGCTAAAGAGCTGAGGGACAGCGCCCAGGCCCCCAGGACCAAGAACAACAAAAAAGTATTAGTATAATCTTCATAAAAGCCTTTGCCTTGGCTGAAAAACATTTTAGTGATCAAATAGTGAAGTAAGCCAGATGTTGGAAGCTGTAATACTTGCTAATTAGGCAAGCACTCTACCACTGAGCCACCCTCCCAGTCCTACTTCCTAATTAGGAGGCTAAGATCAGAGGATTCTGGTTCAAAGCCAGTCCAGCAGTCCATAAGATTTTTATCAATTAAACTACCAGAAGAATGTCTACTCAAAAACAAAACAAGCCCCCCCCAAAACATGTCAAAAGTGCTGCTGGGGCTCAAGTGGTAGAGTACTAGCTTTGAGCTCAAGGATAGCATCCAGGCTCTGAATCGATCACCCCCCCCAAAAAAAAATTCAAGTAAGAGCACAAAACCCTGAGTTCAAGTCCCAATACCGATGCACACATTGAGTGTGTACACATACTTTAAGGAGGGGCTGGCTTTCCTTCAATCTTTCCTGAGAACACAATCAAATCAGCCTTTTCCTGCAGTCAGTAGAAATTGTGGAAATAAGATTTTTAAGAATAAAGGTAGTATCAAACCAGAAACAAAGTCATTTAAAAAACCTCCATATTGGGGCTGGGAAGGTAGCTCAGTGGTAGAGCGCTTGCCTTGCATGCCTGAGGCCCTGGGTTCGATTCCTCAGTACCACATAAGCAAAAAGAAAAAAAAAAGCTGGAAGTGGCGCTGTGGCTCAAGTGGCAGAGCGCTAGCCTTGAGCTGAAGAGCTGAGGGACAGCACCCAGGCCCAGAGTTCAAGCCCCACGACCAGACCCTCCCCCCAAAAAAAAGATAATTGACAGTCACACCTCTAGTAATCATGTTTAGTATTTTACAGAAGTTTAAATGCTATTCTGATGACTACCCCAAATAGCTCCTATTCTTTTTCTCTGAGATTAAGTGATTACATAAATTTCACAAAAAAAAAAAAAAAAAAAAGAAATGTACTCATTACCTGACTTATGTAATGTACTGTAATCCTTCTACATATTACCTTCATAATAACAATTTAAAAAAAGCCAGACAGGAGATTGGCTCAAGTGGTAGGGCACTAGCTGAGTAAGTGCAAGTCCTTGAGTTCAAACCTCAGCAACAAGAAACAACAACAAAAACAATTACAACCACTAAACAAAATTTTCCTTGTATAACTTAGCCTTCATTCTAGTTTCTGTGAGTAATGTTTTGTAGTGTTACTTGCTAGTTTTCATTTGAACACTATATTTAAAAGCAATTCCCACTTCAAACCATAGAAAAACAAATCACATCATGTTCAACTGGAGAATCTGATGATGATATTTTGATGATTACCAAAAAAAACAAAAAAGATACCTTTGGCATCTGATAATAAAGCATCACTTGTCAAGTCCAATCCAATTATTTGTATTGTTTAATATATTACCTATAGAAGAAGCTAAGATAATTCCTATAGACAATGCTGGAAAAACTTAGGTGGATAATATAGTCTTTTAAAATGGTCTAATTTTTCTCTAGTGAGTGAAGTAACAGACTCCTAATTGACATATTTTTGGTAATATTACAATCTCTTATTGTGCCTTATTTAATAAAATACTAAAATACTGTGTAAGATTTATACTTATATGGGAATTGATGTATGATTGGTAAGCTTCATTTTTCCTTTAAAGGATATTCTGAAGGTCTTCTTCAATTTAACAACAGGGCAAGATATCTTTGCTTCTCTAAAACTAAAAAGCTATTTCAAAAATTCTGACCCAAGCCGGGCGCTGGTAGCTCACGCCTGTAATCCTAGCTACTCAGGAGGCTGAGATCTGAGGATCAAGGTTCAAAGCCAACCCGGGCAGGAGAGACCCTGAGACTCCTATCTCCAATAAACCACCAGAAAACCGGAAGTGGCGCTGTAGCTCAAGTGGTAGAGCGCTCGCCTTGAGCTGAAGAGCTGAGGGACAGCACCCAGGCCCAGAGTTCAAGCCCCATGACCGACCAAAAAAAAAAAAAATTCTGACCCAGCTAGGCTCAGGTGGCTCATACCAGTAATCCTTAGCTATTTAGGAGGCTGAGAACTCAGCCAGTCCAGGCAGAAAAGTCTATAAGACTTTTATTTCCATTTAACCATCCAAAAGCTAGAAGGGAAGCTGTGGGTCAAAGGGTAGAGTGCTAGCCTTGAGTGAAAAAGTTCAAGGACAGTGGGGCACATAAATCTGCACATAAATGTACATGCACACATGCATGCGCGCACCCACCCACCCACCCACACCCACACACACCCTTGACCTAATTTAGTCTTTTACACATTTACTCTACTCAAACAGTGATATTAACATTAGTCTTTAAAGAATTACTCACCCAATAAAAGCCACCATTTGTTCTACTATGTGCTTGCTGAATGTTATTATAACAAAGATTTTCTGTAAGAAACACCAATTAAAATATTGTCATTAAAAAACATACTATAAGTTAAAAAAATCTAACAATAATTTAAAAAAAAGCGAAGTCCTGCTATAACTACAATTTAAAATTGTCTTTTATTCATGTGCTGGTACTGGGTCTTGAACTTATCCTTGTACTCTCAGGTTTCTTGCTCACAACCACTTGACATTACTACTTGACAGACTTCTAATCCAAATGTTTCATTTTTATTTTTATTTTTTTAGTTGTGGGGCTTGGGCCTGGGTGCTGTTGCAGCTCTTTTGCTCAGGCTCTACCACTTTGAGCCATAGTGCCACTTCTGGTTTTCTGGTGGTTAAGTGGAGATAAGAGTCTCATGGACTTTTCCTGCCTGGGCTGGCTTTGAACCTTGATCCTCAGATCTCAGTTTCTGAGTAGTTAGGATTACAGATGTGAGCCACTAGTTGATAGATAGAGTAAAAGAATTTAATTCAAATAGTAGGTTTTGTTTTATTTTTTAAGTGGTGGTACTTGGGCTGCACAAGGGTCTTATGCATGCTAGGAAAATGCTCTATCACTTTACTGTGTTCCCAAACTGGTATTATATATTTTGAAAGTGCTTTTCCTTAAGTGCACAGCTTTAATCTTATTAGGATACTTGACAATGACTGAAAGAAATGTGAGTCAAGAAACCCCAGACTGGGCTGGGAAGGTGCTCAGTGGTAGAGCACTTGCCTTGCATGCATGAGGCCCTGGGTTCGATTCCTCAGCACCACATAAGAAGGCAAAAAAAAAAAAAAAGCCGGAAGTGGTGCTATGGCTCAAGTGGTAGCACGCTAGCCTTGAGCTGAAGAGCTAAGGAACAGCGCCTAGGCCCAGAGTTCAGGTACCACAACCGGACTCCTCCCCCCCCCCCGCAAAAAAAGAAACCCCAGACTAAAATGGAATATAGTGGACATGTAAAATCCTGTATGCAACAGAAGCTATACTGATTCACATACAGCTTTTTATTTTTTTAATTTTTTTAGTCAGCTATGAGACTTGAACTCAGGTCCTAGGCACTGTCCCTGAGCTCTTTTGCTCAAAGTTAGTGCTCTACCACTTGTCTACTTCCAGCTTTTGAGTAGTAAATTAGAGATAAGAGTCTTACAGGAACTTTTCTGCCTGGGTGGGCTTCAAACTGTGATCTTCAGATCTCAGCCTCTTGAGTAGATAGCATTATAGGCTTGAGTCACCAGTGCCTAGCTCACACATAGTTTTTTTTTTTTGGGGGGTCCGGTTGTGCGTCCTCAACTCTGGGCCTGGGCGCTGTCTCTCAGCTCTTCAGCTCAAGCCTAGCACTCTACCACTTGAGCCACAGCACCACTTCTGGCTTTTTTCCCCCCTGCTTATGTGGTGCTGAGGAATTGAACCCAGGGCCTCATGCATGCAAGGCAAGCGCTCTACCACTAAGCCACCTTCCCAGCCCCTCACACATAGCTTTGACTACAAAAGCTCAGGGATAGTACCGAGGGCCTGATTTCAAAAACTAAAGACCAGCACTCCCTGCCCCCTAAAAGTATTACAAGGATAGAACAAGTATAGAAGCCGGGAGCTGGTGGCTCACGCCTGTAATCCTAGCTACTCAGGAGGCTGAGATCTGAGGATCATGGTTCAAAGCCAGCCCAGGCAGGAGAGACCGTGAGACTCCTATCTCCAATAAACCACCAGAAAACCGGAAGTGGCGCTGTAGCTCAAGTGGTAGAGCGCTCGCCTTGAGCTGAAGAGCTGAGGGACAGCGCCCAGGCCCAGAGTTCAAGCCCCACGGCCGACAAAAAAAAAAAAAAAGAACAAGTATAGAAATGTAAATGTGTATAAAAGGGTATAACTGCCATTACTGTTTTTTTTAAAAACAATTAAACAAAGAAAATCTAAAAACAACCTAACAAAATAATCTATAATGTCACAAAAGCTTAGAGAAAAACAAGTGTTTACTATTGTTATTAACTGGTGAATAATTACTTTAGCCAATGTAACCTACATAAAGGGGAAAAAAATAAAATGAATCTGAGGAAAGAAGGCAGGTTTGCACTAAAGCATACCATTTTATGTAGAAAACTAGTAAGACAGGGTTACATGAATGGTATATGAATATTAATGAAGCTACCAAGATAATTATTACAGATAGATTAGGGGAGAAGAGCATTAGTATAAGGGGTCTGTGCCAAAAGTCAGTTATTTAGGCTATAAATCTTATCCCAATCAACAGAACCAATGGCACTGACTTCCAATGATTTCATCACCATGAGCTTTCCCTATCATCATTTCCTAACATGTAAAATAAGTTAATGCCCAGATAATTGCACAATTTTGCTTGAGAAACAAAACAAGATTTTCTTTTAAAATATAACAGCTTAAAAATTCACTGTCTTAGCCGGGCGCTGGTGGCTCATGCCTGTAATCCTAGCTACTCAGGAGGCTGAGATCTGAGGATCATGGTTCAAAGCCAGACCGGACAGGAAAGTCTGTGAAACTCTTATCTCCAATAAACCACCAGAAAACTGGAAGTGGTGCTGTAGCTCAAGTGGTAGAGCGCTAGCCTTGAGCCGAAGAGCTGAGGGACAGCACTCAAGCCCAGGCCTACAACGGACCAAAAAAAAAAAAAAATTTCACTGTCTTAGGCAAGGAATAAAATACATCATGTTTAAGAATGTACATCTGAATCTTTTACATTTGAAATCTGAGTGGGAACTCTAGCGAATGATAAAAGGCACAGACCACCAAACAGCCCATCAACAACCATCTGTCAAAGAAACAGGGGAAAGAGCTCAGCAGGAAGAATAAAAATATGAGTACTGATCATGCCAGAATGAATAAAGCAATTATCTGTTAAAGAAGTGTCCTTCATCGGAAAGAAGTATCTTAGACAGGTTTAGCTGTCAGACAGGCACTAGAAGGTATCAGTAAATCAATACATGAAAATTTCTGGTCTCCTGGTGCTAATAATTCCATGCATGTGTTTGCTGGTAAGTGGGAAGGAAGATAGGTAAGAGACAATATCCATGGTAAATAAGTTGTATAAGATAATAGAAACATGTATGTTTTCTTCATTATTTGGGAGAAAAGACAATGTCTCTAGGTAGAGGAGCTGAACTCATCTAATGGATAGACAAAACTTCATCTAACTTTTTTTTTGGCCAGTCATAGGGCTTGAACTTGGGGCCCTGAGCTTCTTTTGCTCAAGGCTAGCACTCTACCTTGCCACAGTGCCGCTTCTGGCTTTTTATGTTTATGTGGTACTGGGGAATCAAACCTGGGGCTTCAAGCATGCTAGGCAAGCACTTTACCATTAAGCCATATTCCCAGCATTGATTTAACTTTTTTGTTGTTGTTGTTGGTTGTGGGGTTTGAACTCTGGTCCTGGGCACTATCCCTCAGCTCTTCGGCTCAAGGCTAGTGCTCTACCACTCCAGCCACAGTGCCACTTCCATTTTTCTGGTGGTTAATTGGAGATAAGAGTCTCATGGACTTTTTTTTTTTGGTCGGTTGTGGGGCCTGAACTCTGGCCTGGGCACTGTCCCTTGGCTCTTCAACTCAAAGCTAGCGCTCTACCACTAGAGTCATAGCTCCACTTCTGGCTTTTTCTGCTTATGTGGTGCTGAGGAGTAGAACCCAGGGCCTCATGCATGCAAGGCAAGCGCTCTACCACTGAGCCACCTTCCAAGCCCCTCTCATGGACTTTTCTGCTGGGTTTGGCTTTGAACCTTGATCCTCAGATCTCAGCCTCCTGAGGTGTGAGCCACCAGTGCCCGGCTTTGATCTAACATTTTTAAGTGAGCCCATTTGAATTTTTTAGGGAAGGCTAACAGGTAGCAAGACAATAATAAAGATAACTCTTATTGGGAGCTGGGAAGGTTGCTCAGTGGTAAGAGTGCTTGCCTTGCATGCATGAGGCCCAGGGTTCGATTCCTCAGCACCACATAAGCAGAAAAAGCCGGAAGTGGTGCTGTGGCTCAAGTGGTAGGGCACTACCCTTGAGCTGAAGAGCTGAGGGACAGTGCCCAGGCCCAGAGTTCAGGCCTCATGACCGACAAAACAACAACAACAATAAAACTCTTATTGGACAACTGTCTGATTTTAAGTTGAGGAAAAAGAGATGAAAGGTGTAAATGTTGACTCACACCTGTAATTTACAAAGAGCTGAGGACCATTATTCAAAGCCATCCAGGGCAGGCGTGTCCATGAGACTCATATCTCCAAATAACCACCAAAAAGCCAGAAGTGAAGCTGTGGCTCAAGTGGTAGAATGCTAGCTTTGAGAGAAAAAGCTCAGGGACCGTGCATAGGCCTTGAATGCAAGTCCCAGGCTTGGCATCAAAAAGAGAGAGAGGGAGGAGAAAAAGGGAGATAGAAGGAGGAGGAGGAGGCGAAGAAAACAAATGCAGAAATAGGTTTAGTATAAAGAGTACAGAAAAAAATGTGTTTGGGTGTTTCTATTTCAGAAATGGCTAAAATATTTACACTGCTCGCTAATATTGCTTACCCAAGAAATGAGAAATGCTTGTTACCATGAACTGCATCTGGATGTACATCAAGTGACATGCCTTTATAAAGTATGTCACTATGACACAATAGAACATAGCAAACATAGCTTTGGTTTAGTGAAGCAATACAGATTCTTTCCTTTCAGAGACAAAAGGATTTGCAGCTTTGTTTTGCTTTTTCCTTCCTTTTTCTTTTTCTTTCCTGTACATAGTAGGTTCAATGAAACAGCTTCAATTTTAAGAGCTCAGTTTGGATTTTAGTATCTTAGGTAAGAAATTTTGTTTCTTTAAAAAAGTTTTATTTTTACCTTAGTTATTTCCTTCTTTCCTGTATTTCCTACTTTGGGTAGTACTGGGAATCTGAACTCATCTTTATTACTTGAGCTATACCTTCAATCTACTTTGTCTTCTCTAACATAGTTTGTCCCTCTTTGAGATAAATAATATGAATTACCTGGCAAGGATCCTGATAAATAGTAGGCATTCAACAACTTAGTTTCCGTAGTCATATTAATAATTTACATAGATAAGAAGGGAATGCAAAAGAAAGAACACTGAACATGAAGTCCTAAGATTTGGGTTCAAATTCAAGCTTTTTTTTTGCTGTCTTGGTCACTGTCCCTGAGCTTTTTTTTTGCCTGAGATTAACAATCTACCACAAGAACCACAGTTCCACTTCCAGTTCTTTTTTTTTTTTTTTGGCCAGTCCTGGGGCTTGAACTCAGGGCCTGAGCACTGTCCCTGAACCTCTTTTGCTCAAGGCTAGTACTCTACCATTTGAGTCACAGAACCACTTCTGGCTTTTTCTGTTTATGTGGTACTGAGGAATTGAAGCCAGAGCTTCATGCATGGTAAGCAAGCACTCTACTACTAAGCCACATTTCCCAGCCCCACTTCCAGCTTTAATTTTTAATATAGCATACCACACTTTACAATGCTTAATGTAATCATATTAAAGAATTACTATGATCATTTTGTGACTGTCAGACTTACAGTGGTTAATAAATGTTGCCTATAAGAAAACCAGCTTGAAGCCGGATGCCAGTGGCTCTCACCTATAAGCCTAGCTACTCAGGAGGCTGAGATCTGAGGATTGTGACTCAAAGACAGCCCAGGCAGGAGTCTGTGAGACTCTTCAATTAACCACTCAAAAACTGGAAGTGGAGCTGTGGCTCAAATTGGTAGAGCTCTAACAAAAGAGCTCAGGGACAGTCCCCAGAGGCCCTGAGTTCAAGCCCTATGACCAACAAAAAACAAAACACAAGAGTTAAAAATGGTTATAACTTAAATGGTCATAACCAGTAGGGTGGTGGCAGTGAATTGCTGTAATCCTAGTTACTTAGGCGACTGAGATCTGAGGATCATCGTTCAAAGCCATCCTAAGCAGACAAATTGAGATGGTTATCTCCAACTAAGCAGCAGCAAAAATACTGCAAATGGAAAGGTATGAGAAGGCCCTACATTCAAATCCCAGTGCTGTCAAAAAGAAAAAAACAACCAACAAACCAAAAAACAGCAAACCAAAAAACAAAAACTTATGGATTCCTAGAAAAGTTCCTATAAATTAATTAAAATACTCCCCTCTACCTCCCCCCCCCCCCCACCTCAGGAGCAGGGGGTTGGTTGTGGGGCTTGAAGTCAGGGCCTAGAGTTTTTCTATTCAAGACTTCCTACTCTACTTCTTTGAGCCACAGTGCTACTTCCAGCCTTTTCTGTTTATGTGGTATAGAGGAATTGAACCCAGGGCTTCATGCATGCTAGGCAAGCACTCTACCACTAAGCCACATTCCCAGACCTCATTCTTTGACTTTAAGAACCAGAGGAAGAGCTAGAGAGAAGGGCTTGAATCCAGGGCCTCATGCTCAGTTTTCTCACTCACAGTTGGCAGTCCACCCCTTGAACCACATCTCTAGTTTGGCTGGTACTTAAGACTAACTCAAGCCGGGCGCTTGGTGGCTCATGCCTGTAATCCTAGCTACTCAGGAGGCTGAGATCTGAGGATCTCTGTTCAAAGCCAGCCCGGGCAGGAGAGAGAGACCGTGAGACTCCTATCTCCAATAAACTACCAGAAAACCGGAAGTGGCGCTGTAGCTCAAGTGGTAGAGCGCTCGCCTTGAGCTGAAGAGCTGAGGGACAGCGCCCAGGCCCAGAGTTCAAGCCCCACGACCGACAAAAAAAAAAAAAAAAAAAAAAAAAAGACTAACTCAAGGTCTTACACATGTGATGCACAGGTTCAACCACAGAAATATATCCCCAGCTGGTTGAGTGTATTTTTAATTATTATGGAATGATATAGTGACACAGAGACATTACTTCATGGTTCTTAACTTTCTTTGGATAAATACCTGTCTTTGTTGCAAATCACATCGATCAAGAACAAATTTTTTCCAGGTTAATTTTTAATTTTATTCTAGTGAGACTTGCCCTTAGTAGGAAATAATTCACATCACAGCTCTTGATTCACATATCTATTTCCCTTTAATGTCTTAGGCTCTAGTTGTGTATGTGTGTATCCTACAGATATTCAGTGTCTCTGGGGACTAGCAGAGTCTCACTTCTGTAACCACAGCCCACATTTCCTTGCTTCTTCAGAATCCTTTCTTCCCCATTTTCTCCCCCACTAACATCTGGCTGGTTTTCGGTAAAGAATGTTAGTGTCAAGAGAGGAAATACTATATAGAGTATGCGAAAGAAAAAAAATAGTGAAAGGCAATATTCTCTCAGGTTGTGGTCGGGAGAAAAACTACATTATTTGACTGTATATATAAAATGCTGTGGATTTTTCTATATAGGAACACACTTTTATTTGCTAAGTTTTAGGTAGATGGTTTCATGGAGCAAAAAATAGATGAGAAAAGGGAAGAGAGGAAAAAAAGAGAAGAGGAAAACAAAGGATTTTTTTAAAAAAAATCTTATTTTTCTGTGCCAGTACTGATGCATGGGTATTGTCACAGAGGTTTTTTTGCTTAAGGTCTACTACTTTGGCTGAAGTAGTAGCTCTCCACTTTCAGCTTTTCCTGGTTAACTGGATTTTGGTGGTTAATTGGATTTTCCTGCCCAGTATGGCAGTGAGCCTCCATCCTCAGATCTCATCCTCCTGACTAGCTAGAATTAGACAGGAACCAACAACATTAGGCAATAAGGGAATTTACTAACATCCAAGTAACATTTGCATACTTTATTATCTAAGTAAGCTATTAAACCAAAGATGAGCCTAATTTTCTTAAAAATGAGCCAGTTTCAGTGTCTTATAACAGTTTATCATAATCAGTTAACAGTCAATAAAGGCTATAATTACCTGGATATGCATTTTAATTATTGCTTTTCCAATCAGGGTTGCACCAAAGAAGGTCCAAAAAGGTACAAGAAAGTGTCCACATGTTATTCCAGCCAGATCAAACAGAGGATTTGGAATCTATTAAGAAAACAACAACAATTTTCATACAACATTCAAAGACCAATTTAATTTTAACACCCACTGGTATATATTATTTTGTTTTGGGCTTTGTTTAAATTGTAAAACAAATCATAAGTTCCCTGGTTAGTTCTACACTGTTCAGAAGCTGGCTTTCACATTTTTCACAGGCTGTTTTTCAGTATGTTCACAGTGAACCAGGCCTTTTCTTTATTTACTGATGGCCAATGCCTCATAAACAAATCTTCTTCCCTTAAATCACAAGAGAAATGGACAAAGTCCATGGATCTGCAGGTATTGAATCCCATTGACTGGATTCTTGGGCATTTGCTTTGGATTGCTTTCTATGGCAAGGTATGAGTAAAGCATTAAAATTATTATTATTTTTTTCCCAGGGCTGAGAACCGAACCCAGGGCCTTGTGCACACCAGGCAGTCGCCCTTCTGCTGGGCTAAACCCCCAGCCCCAAGCATTAAAATTATTGCAGAAGTTACTTAGGTTCTTTTTTTGGTGCCAGTCCTGGAACTTGAACACAGTGCCTGGGTACTGTCTCTACACTTTTGTGCTCAAAGTTAATGTTCTCCTACAATGTCACAACAACATTTCCGGCTTTTTGGTAGTTAATTACAGACAAGACTCTTATAGACTTTCCTGCCCAGGCTGCTTTGAACTGTGATCCTCTTGAGTAGCTAGAATTATAGGTGTGAGTCACCACTGCCCAGCAAGTATCCTAAATTTTTTAGACTGAAATATGAATATTACCTGAAAGTGTTCACATCTTTAACAAGCATTTTTATACATTCAAAATTAATTTACAGATGAATGTTCTTGACATTTAAAATTTCATAATTTCCTTTATATTTGCCAGTTATGGGCCTTGAACTCAGGGCCTAGGTGCTGTCCCTGGGCTCTTTTGCTCAAGGCTAGTGGTCTACCACTTAGAGCTACAGCATCACTTCCAGTTTTCTGGTGGTTGGTTGGAGATAGGAGTCTCATAGACTTTTCTGCCTGGGATGGCTTTGAACTGTGATCCTTAGATCTCAGCCTCCTGAGAAGCTAGGATTACAGGTGTGAGCCACCAGTACCTGGCTCATTATTTATATTTCATGTTTAGAGAGCTCAAGGCTTTGAGTCCCTGTGACATATTTCAGAAAGAAAATAAAATGTGCAAATATGAGAGCACAGATTCACATGTTTTGAATACTTAGTCCCAGACAGAAAAATGATTTACAATAAATAACTTTTCTCCTTCCTCCCTTTCTTTCCTCCCTCCCTCCCTCCCTCTCTCTCCTTCCTTCCTTCCCTCCCTCCCTTCCTCCCTCTCTCTCCTTCCTTCCTTCTTTCTTGGCTGAATCACTTACAAGTCAATAAATTTAATTTTTTAACTCTGAAAAAGCCCAGATGTTTAAAAACTAGTTGCCATATTTTTTTTTTTAAAGCAATGCTATGACTAAATTAGAATTCAAGAATTATTTTGTCGGGGCTGAGAAGGAGGCTCAGTGGTAGAGCACTTGCCTTGCATGCATGAGGCCCTGGGTTCGATTCCTCAGCACCACATAAGCAGAAAAAGAAGTGGTGCTGTGGCTCAAGTGGTAGAGCACTAGCCTTGAGCTGAAGAGCTGAGGGACAGAGCCCAAGCCCAGAGTTCAAGCCCCATTACTGACAAAAAAAAAAAAAAAAGAATTCTTTTGTCAGTAACACTCTGATTCAATAAATTGTCTTTTTAAATGTAAATTAAAATACTTTATGCAATTTATTTTCTTATAACCATGTTGTAAGCTTTATATCTGCCATCTTATAGTTTCTCATGTTATCCTTACAATTCTATGAATTATAACTTTTCCATTATTCTCAGACTCCACTCCACATTGAAATGCAGGTAAATTTAATGTATGGCATATATAATAAAAAGTAGGATTTGACAGACTTTTGGGTATCTCATTCTACAGTGGATACACTCACAAGAGTATAGTGAATGAGTTTATTTTTAGATATACACTTACTATTATTATTATTGTGCTGGTACTAGGGCTTTAACTCAGGGCCCGGGCACTGTCTAAGCTTTTGTGTTAAAGGCTGGAGCTTTACCACTGTGACCCACAGCTTTACTTCCAGTTTTCTGGTAGTTAATTAGAGTCTCACAGACTTTACTGTCTGAGCCAGCTATGAACCAAGATCCTCAGATCTCAGCCTTTTGAGTAGCTAGGACTATAGACATAAGCCACTAGCACCTAGTGTTAGATATTGTGTTAAGGGCTTGATGTTATCAACATAATTCTCACAACCCTATATGATATCATACTAATTTTACATAGGAAAATAATGAAAGAAATCATGTCATTTGTCTTAGGCAAAGGCAGCAAAGTAAGAGTTGAACAACTCTTGGAAGTTTGTGCCTTCTAAGCTTGTTCTCTGGGTTTCTAAATTAATGATATCATTACCTATTAGACATTTCAACATAATACCATAGAAGCCATATAGGCTTCTATAGTATTTTAGCTGTTTCTCAGTACTTCAGGATCCATAAGGAGATGGAATATGTCTTGAACCTCTTATTTATTTATTTATTTATTTATTGGGTCCGGTTGTGGGGCCTGAACTCTGGGCCTGGGTGCTGTCCCTCAGCTCTTTCAGTTCAAGGCTAGCACTTTACTACTTGAGCCACAGCGCCATTTCCAGTTTTTTTCTTTTTGCTTATGTGGTGCTGAGAAATCGAACCCAGGGCCTCATGCATGCAAGGCAAGCGCTCTACCACTGAGCCACCTTCCCAGCCCTGAACCTCTTTTTTAAAATACTTTTTATTTTAGCTGGGCGCCAGGGGCTCACGCCTGTAATCTTAACTACTCAGGAGGCTGAGATCTGAGGATCGCCGTTCAAAGCCAGTCTGGGCAGGAAAGTCCGTGAGACTCTTATCTCTAATAAACCACTAGAAAACTGGAAGTGGCGCTGTGGCTCAAGCTGTAGAGTGCTCGCCTTGAGCTGAAGAGCGCAGGAGAGTGCCTAAGCCCAGAGGTTCAAGCCCCATAACTGACCAAAAATAAAAAAATTAAAAAAAAAATTTTTTTTAACAGTGCTAAAGAGGGCCTTGTGCAGTAGTTGAACATCCTACCACTGAACTGTATCTTCAGACTCCTTTTAAACCTTTACTCCTAGAACAAAGTGGCTAATATAAAGCATATTATGAATACTTACGAGTTTGGTATCGTATTGATATATGGTCTAAAAATCCCTGTATCAGCCTTTGCAGTAAAGTGTCTTATTTCTATTTTTACATCTTTGCCTCTCTGCCTCCTTCTCCCCCTTCTCTCTTTCTCCTTCTTTCCCTCTCTCTCTCCCTTCCCTGTCAATAGACATGGTCTTGCTAAGCAATCCAGTCACAAGCCATCAATCCCTGGTCCTCCTGCTTTAGCCTCTGCAGTGCTGGAACGCAGGTCTTCACTACCATATCCAACGTATGTTCCATTTTTAAAAATAAGAAAATCTGGGCTCTAGGAGTAATGTGAGTGACATTATACAGTTAAGAGGCATACCTGGTTTATGAGTTAAGGCAGCCTGACTCTATAGTGTATTCTCTTTCTAGTCTATTCATTCTATAACTTGTTCGTGAAGTTATAATTAGCTTATGAAAATTCCAGGTATTACCACCAGAGCCTGCAGAAAGTCATCTAGATATATTCTGGCATTTGTTTTACTAAGATAAAGGCGAGTGCAAAGATGCAATATTTGTGACTTAATATATAATTAATAGTTATATCAATAATTTTTCAAATTTTATTTATAATTAAAGTTTATAGCTTATCAACTAGGTGCTTAGATATTTTGGCTAATCTGTCATTCAATTGCCAATAATTGTATATATGCCACTAAGAGAGACTGAACAAACTGGCCTATATTATAAATAAGTTTTTTTTTTTTTTTTTTTGGGTCCGGTAGTGGGGCCTGAACTCTGGGCCTGAGTACTGTCCCTCAGCTCTTCAGCTCAAGGCTAGCGCTCTACCACTTGAGCCACAGCACTACTTCCGGCTTTTTTTCTTTTTGCTTATGTGGTGCTAGGGAATCGAACCCAGGGCCTCATGCATGCAAGGCAAGTGCTCTACCACTGAGCCACCTTCCCAGCCCCTAAATAAGTTTTTATATTAGAAAAGGATGAGAATAAAAACTAATTCACGAAGGAACGACAATTTCACAAATCTGAAATTAAAACATTTTCAGACAAAAATAGCTTCATTACAATCAAAGTTGTCCTTAGCTTTGCTTCAGATACTGCCAATATCAAAGCCAGGAGATAAGGTTTCTTAAGATGAATGTTATATGAATTCTTCCAAATAACTAACACTAGAAACTTTAGAAAAAGACTTTCTCTCTACTACTTTGTGGAACATTATGCTAAAACTAATCTATGTAATTTAAGGGTAGGGATGGGATAGGGAAGATGGAAGAGAACAATAGAGGGGGTAACAGTGATCAAGAAGCACTATACTCATAAACTTATTTATAAAATTGTAACCTCTTCATACACTTACTTAATAATAAAGAAAAAAGTCTTAAAAAACAAAAGTTCTGGGGGTGGTGGTGGGAGATGGGAAGTGATGGGAAGGGAAAACAAAGGAGGAGGCAACAATGCTTGATAAGAAATGTACTCATTACCTTGCCCATGTAACCCTTCTGTACGGTATTTTCACAATAAAAAATTTAAAAAAAGTTCTCACTTTTAATACAACTCACTTACTGAAGCACATGCCAAAATCCCAAAAAATCCAACTTTTTGTACTAGATTTTGAACTGCCAGTTTAGCCCGTGAAGCAAAATCCTGTAAAAAGAAAGACATTAAAACATTAATGGGTTATATTAAATTATATTATCATAAAAACTGATAGCATTGATTTTTCTTCTTCTTCTTCTGCCAGTTCTGGAGCTTGAACCCATGGCCTGGGTGCTTTCTCTGAGCTTTTGTGCTCAAGGCTAGTGCTCTATATTTGAGGCACAACTCCACTGCTTTACTTCCAGCTTTTTGGTGGTTAATTGGAGATAAGAGTCTTACAGTGCTTGCTTCAGCAGCACATATACTAAAATTGGAATGATACAGAGAAGATTAGCATGGCCCCTGCACAAGGATGACAAGCAAATTCGTGAAGCCAGACCCAAAGAAACACAGGTCCCACATTTCCCTTATTTGTAATAATTAGTACACATCTAGGATAATCTTAGCAGAAGAGCACAATATCTCAATAGCTATGTATATATGACCATATATGATGATGTTAGGTAAAATGAACTCTAAGCCATGAACACAAGAGGTTTTTCTTGTTTTAATGTACTATGTGATTTTTTTTTTTTGCCGATTGTGGGGCCTGGGAGGGCTAGTACTCTACCACTTGAGCCACAGCGCCACTTCTGGCTTTTTCTGCTTATGTGGTGCTGAGGAATCAAACCCAAGGCCTCATGCATGCAAGGCAAGCACTCTACCACTGAGCCACCTTCCAAGCCCCTAATGTTCTTTTTCTAGGTTGATCCCAATTCTATCACACAAATTATGTAGTCTCTAACAAATGATAGAAAATTGACTTTTCTACATATGGTATACACAAGAGCAACAGAGAATTGCATCTGGATAAGTGCTCTGGTGCCTTAATTTCAAGGCTTTAGAATTTTCTATTTATTTAAACATGACTGTTAGTACCAACATTTCACATTAGTACCATTTTTCCATTACACAAACATATATATCATGGGGCATTGTTCACTTGGTATAGTAAACACAAGGCCTCAAGTTCAATGTCTAGTGCTGCCAAAATATAAAAGTTCATAAAAAGGGAGACATAACCATATATAAAAATGTAAAGTGGAAAAGAGGTATTGTATTAGTCACATTATATACAGAAAAGAAAGATTAAACATTACACAGATCACCTGTATCTGTTTATGCTATTCTCTTTCCTTTTACAAATAAAGATAGTTAAGACTGGATATGCTCAAAAAAAATTGTTTTTTGAGATGGGATCTTGCTATGGTTCTCCTTGCCTCAGCCCTTCAAGTAATGGGGATTATAGGCATGTACTAAGAACATGTTTTAAAAAAAATATCCACTCATGACCTTACCTATGTAACTGTAATCCCTGTGTAATACAAATAAGTAAAAATCCAGGGCTAGGGTGTGACTCAGGTTATAAGAGTGTCTGTCAAAAAACAAACAAAAGCCATCTTAAACTATACAGTAGTATGCAACTGTAGTTCCAGCACTCAGGCAGAGCAGGAGGTTTGAGAGTTTGAGGCCAGCCTGAATAGCAAGCAAGATTCTGTCACTAAATCTATCAACCAAACAATCCTGAGAAAGAAGTCAATTCATTACAGGAATACTAAGAAAGGAGAATAAAACAGAGAAGGTAAGAATAAAGGAAACAGACTTGTTCTTTCAGATGCCTGAGTGCCCACCATCATTTAACCTTCAAGGTGCTTCCCCAATCTTTATGTCAATGAAAATAAGTTTAGTAGAAACCTCCTTTAACTAATTAATGTTTAAAGAATTAAAGTACCTTCTTAAGGAGTTTTACTTTTTGCTGGGAATGTGGCTTAATGGTAGAGTGCTTGCCTAGCAGGCATGAAGCCTTGGGTTCAATTCCTCAGTGCCACATAAACAGAAAAAGCCAGAAGTGATGCTGTGGCTCAAGTGGTAGAGGGCCAGCCTTAAGTAAAAGAAGCCCAGGGACAGTGCCCAGGCCCTGAGTTCAAGCCCTAGGACTGGTTAAGAAAAAAAAGTTTTATTTTTTAGAAATGGTGAAAGCCATCTACCAAAATGGATTTCATAAATACTCTTAACTATGTAATACACACAGTGACCATGCTACTTTCACTTCCTATAATTTCTTTCCAAGGCTTTCACAATATTCTCAGAATTGAAATTATACACTGAACAACCATGAACATTAGTTGAAATTAAACTAATACAAATTTAAGTTGTTTTCATTAAAAGAAATGAACAGTTACTAAATATATTCTGATTCTTGATTTTTTTCCTTGTCAGTATAATAAAAAAAAATACTTAGGGAAGCACTAGATTAGTGTTCGTTCCAAATCTATAATAAAGTAGTAAATAATAAAGAAGTAACTCATGCTTATATTCTATAAACAGCTATATTTTATCGTATTTTTTTTACGCTGATTGTAATTTTGAAGCCATATCAATAAAATTTACTCATATATAGTTTTAAAGGTTTTTTTGTTTTTTTCTTTAATGTTTCAGGGTGGGTGGTGAATGAACCTAAGGGCTTCATGTGCTTTGGTCTACCACAGCAATACCATGAAACATTAGTCTTTTATTGTACAAAATGTTCTACATGTACTAATTTTGTTTTCCTTGGTGCCCTATATCATTCAAAATAAACATATCTTTTTCTGCTCTTGGGGCTTGAACTCAGGGCTTGAGTGGTGTCCGTGAGCTCCTTCTGCTCAAGGCTAGCTCTCCACCAAGCCACACTGCCACTTCTGGCTTTTTCTGAATAGTTTATTGGCGGAAGTGGTGCTGTGGCTCAAGCGGTAGAGTGCTGGCCTTGAGCTGAAGAGCTCAGGGACAGTGCCCAAGCCCAGAGTTCAAGCTCCACAACCGACCAAAAAACAAAAACTTTCCTGCCTAGGCTGGCTCTAAACCATGATCCTCAGATGTCAGCCTCCTCAGTAGCCAGCAGCTATGCATGAGGCACTAGTGTCCAGTTCTAAAAATATTTTATTAAAAAAAACCCACAAATCAACAATTTCAGTATGTATTAGTTTTATAATATGGCAGATCTTTTAATGTTAATTTTGGAATAATACTGTCCATGAAAATGCTTACATTATCACTTGCCTTTGAAATATAAAGAGGGATAATTTTTCTCTATGTACATTATTTGTCAATAAACTTGACTCTAAACATTCACAAGAAATACCTTCCTATTACCCCAACGCATTCTTTTTACTAAACTTTAAAGAAATCATTTGGAACAAAAATTGCTGTTTTTTTCAAAGTATAACTAAGAATGTATAACAATGATAAACAATATTTTAAAGAAAAAATGGGGAAAGAAGATCATTAAACATATTTGTATGTTATATATTCAATGTTCAAATTAAATACCAAAAGAAAATTAATATTTCATTTTAATCTTTCTGTAGTATTTGTGGGAATTATATACTAAGATCTGACCATCATTTTTCATTTTTTCAAAAACTGTACAACAAAAGCAAATTCCTTTTTATAGTTTCATTTCTCTGTATTCACATTTCACAACTTTTGCTTGTTTCACAATTTAAGTTCCTGGGAAGGCAGTTTCATTTTTTAATATTACTCTAAATAATAACATACATTTGTAATCAGGTTATCATTTTTCTACTTTTTCACAAAAATAAATTATAGATAAATAGAATTACATTTCCTACCCTCAACCATTATAATTTTGTATGTAACCAATCACACTTTCAAAACAATTAGAGACATAGAAGTTCTCCAAGAAACACTAGAAGAAAAACAAGAAGAGGGGCTGAGAAGGTGGCTCAGTGGTAGAGCACTTGCCTTGCATGCATGAGGCCCTGGGTTCGATTCCTCAGCACCACATAAGCAAAAAGAAAAAAGCTGGAAGTGGTGCTGTGGCTCAAGTAGTAGAGCGCTAGCCTTGAGCTGAAGAGCTGAGGGACAGCGCCCAGGCCCAGAGTTCAGGCCCCAGGACTGGCCTCCCTCACCACCTTCCCCCTCCCCCCCAAAAAAAGAAAAACAAGAAGAGTTAGTTATTTCTACCACTGACTTGAAATCTTAAGCCTTGAACTATTAATATTCCTGTACCATTACTGTGTCATAATATATTCCCTACTTAAGATATTTATAATTAAGGAGAAAAACTATAAGGCTAGTTATAATTGGCCTGTAAAATACTAATCTTTGAATCTAGGAATATCAATCTAAATTTAAATATATGAAATGTTTATCTTCAAATGGTAAAAACAAATCTTTTCCATGATGAGTGATAACATAAAAAGACCTCTTTAAAAACAGTGAAGTAGCTAGTCACTGGTGGCTCGTGCCTCTAATCCTATTGTCTGAGGAGGCTGAGATCTGAGAATTGCAATGGAAAGCCAGCTGGAGCAAAAAAGTCCATGAGACTCTTATCTCCAATAAACTACCAAAAAAAGCCAGAAGCAGATCTGTGGCTCAAGTGGTAGAGCTCTAACCTTGAGCAAATGAAACTCAGGGACAGCGACCACGCCTAGAGTTGAAGCCTTAGGACCAGTACCAAGTATAGATCTATTACAACTGTTTGACTAATTAGAACAATTAGTAGTTAGAATAATTAATAGTTATTCTGCAGTCCTTATCTTCTACTAAACTATGATTTTAGGCCAGAATCCCTGGAGGACACACAGCAGTATTAAGAAAGTAGGTTTCTGGCTCATGCCTATAATTCTAGCTACTCAAGAGGCTGAGATCTGAGGATTTCAGTTCAAAGCCAGCCTGGGCAGGAAAGTCCGTGAGACTCTTTCATCTCCAATAAACCACTAGAAAATTGGAAGTGGCGTTGTGGCTCAAGCGGTAGAGTGCTCGCCTTGAGCTGAAGAGCCGAGGGATAGCACCCAAGCCCAGAGTTCAAGCCCCATGACCAACAACAAAAAAAGAAGGTAGGTTTCTATTTAGTATACTATCCATTTGCAAACCCATGAGCAAAAACACAGAAACATATAGTCTGTCAATCCAAGTTTTGATGAAAGGGGACTTTCTAAAGGTACCTTACAAATGGTGTTTGAAACACAAACCTGAAAAAAAAACTTTAATTGGTTAACAAAGGTAGTCTACTGCTCACCCACCACTTATTTTTTCCTATCTGTAAACAAGTGTGGAGAAAATACCAAAGCAGACACAGACAAAAATGAAGACAAACTAAGAAGAGATACATTAATATTTATCAGTGATTTTTTAATAAACTGGTTATATTAATCTCTTATTTTCATTTGAAAATCATGTGGTTCTAATTAGAAGAATTGCTTCTTCATCAAAACAGATAGATTTTTCCCCTATTTTAATTTGATCACTGAGTTAACAAGTATGCCTAGAATATAAACAATGTTAAACTTCCATTATTTTTTCCCTGTGAATAATTTGTTCAAATTTTTCTAGATTCCTTCCTA